TCTCGGGCTGCCCATAATGCCGGGTGATGTGGAAACCGGACAGAAACCAACCCCTCCAGAACAGGCGGTCAGACCTGCCCAGCACCTTTGGCCACTTGAACTCCACAGACTAAGGTCCAGCGGAGCTCCATGCAGCAGTCTGTGACCCCAATGTCACAGGAAGCCCACGACTCCCAGGTGCGTGTGCACAGAGCGAGCCAGGCCATGCTTGGTCTGGACATTCTGGCAGAAGGGACAACACACAGGGAACCCCAGGAGGAAAGGAGATGGCAACCGGCCGTGCTTGCTATGAACTGGGGCCATTAGAGTGTAGGCTGTCTGGGGTTCGAGGAGGAGGAAGAGCCGTGCTGCCTTTGGTGTGAGACCCTCTGTGAGTCGAGAGCCCATTAGTAGGTGCTGAGGACCAGCCTGTGAGGAGCCGTGGGAGCAGGCCACCCCACCTGCCTTTACAGAAGACTGCAGCCCAGGCTTCAAACCTAAAATAAAACCAACAGAAAACCTCAGGAGGCAGACAAAGAAATCTGGAGAGAGCTGCGTGGGGCCAAGGGGCCAGGCCAGACGCCTGAGCCAGGAGGTGGGACCTGGGGCCAGTGAGGGCGGTGAGGGACGGGGACCATGTCTGTGCAAAGCAGAGGGAACGACACTCAGCGCCACAAAGACCTTCGGTAGTTTGAACTGGCTTCTGTTCCCAAATCCTCTTCAAGGAAAGGAATCAAGGCATGAGGGTCCCCTTGGGAAGGTGGGTTGGTCCAGGCCCAGCCACTGTGGTGCCCTAACGGTGGGCTGGCCCTAACCAGGCACAGGGCACGGAGAGGCGAGGCAGGTGTGAGAGAGCAGGAGCACGCGTGGTGGCCTCTAAACCCGGGCCTGTGCTTCTCCCTGTGTCCACCCCGCCCAGGTGTGATGACTTACAAATGACATGCAAGGACTGCTCTGCTAACCATGACATGCACTTGATCCTTGAACGACGCTGGGTTGGGAGTGCCAACCTCCCAGGCAGTCAAGAAATCCGCATCTAACTTTTGACTCCCCCAGAACTTAACTACTATTAGCCTACTGTTGATCAGAAGCCTTACAGATGACAAAAAGTTAATGCATATTTTGTATGTTATATAGTATACACTGTATTCTTACAATAAAGCAAACTAGAGAAAAGAAAATGTTATTAAGAAAATCATAAGGAACAGGAAATACTTTTGCAATATTGCATGTAATTACTGGGGGAAAAAACACATATAAGTGGACCCTCGCAGTTCAAATCCATGTTGTTCGTGGTCAGCTATACACACAAAGATCCAAGATGTCTCAATGAAGAGAGGTTAGATATTAATGCTTTTTAATTTTATTAATAGTATGGAAAAACATTATTGCTCTTATTATAAAAACATGTTTTAAGTAAGAGTCATATGACTCAATAGGTTCCTAGTGTTCCCACACCTGACATAATGAATCAGAGCAGATCCCACACCAGCCTCTTTCAGTTCTAATGAAGTTGTTTTCATAGCCATCGCGGCTGAGATGGGAGCGTGGGCAGGAGGCTGGGTTCTCTATCTTGATCCTTGGTTTCCTTCAGCAATTATGCAGATGGTGTTGAAATTCAGCTGACGGGTCTCCCTTTTCCTTGATGTCAAGGAAATGTCTCTTTCTTAATGCTAATCTGTTGTTCTTACAAACTAAGTAGGAGGTGTTAAATTTTTATTTTTTAATGGGTGTATGTTTACTGGGTTCAAAGCCCACATAACTATTCAATTAGATTATTTTGTTGAGAAAGTTGCCTTTTGTGCATGGGAGCTTTTATAAATGGCACACCTGTAAAAAATCAATAAAAAATATTTAAAAATAAATAAATAAATAAATAAATAAATAAATGGCACACCCAAGATTACCGATTTGGGAAGATGCTCTCAGCCTAGTGGAAAATGGGGTTGCTTTCTCACTTACGATTAAACACACTGACCTGGAGAGTTTTCATTGTTTGGGGCCCTGTCTTCCCAGCTCTCACTGGGCTGCCCGTCATCTTGGTTCATCTGTGCTTGGGTGTCAGTCCGACTTGTCTTCTCTTAGGCCACTTGGTTCTTTGCTGAGCATTAGTTTAAACTGGACGATATAGTCCGCAGATTCCCTTCATCAGGTGCATGGAACTGAGGTGCTCATGTGCTGAGACACACTGAGGGACCCGCTGTCCCCCCCCCGCCCCAAGCCTCCCTGCGGGTCCCTCATGCCATGTGGCACGTGGCCCAGGATGGAGAGGCATCTGCACACCTCGCTCAGGTCACTGCCGTGCTCCACGGCTGGAGCTCGCTGTGGAAGTGAGGAGTCGGGGTGGGTGACCACGGCCAGCGGGAGGACAGCCACCGGTCAGCTCCCGCAGGCCTGCATGGCACCCCAAGAAGTCTGCTTTGCATCCAATAGCAGTGGGCTGACTTTGGGGACAGGGACGGTTCATTTGGCTTAGGAGAGCTGAATGGACGGGGCCTGCAGGACGTGAGGACTGAGGACAGAACCGATAGGGGAAGCAGCCAGCGGGTAGGAAGGACTAGGGCCGCGATGATTTCGGAGCCAAAGAAGCTCAGTAAGAACATGGAGGGAGGGGCCGTGGGAGTGGACATGGGAGGAGGGTGCTGGGGAGGACTCAGGAGGGCACAGGAGGAGGAGGGGGAGCAGGAAGCAGGAGAAGGATGGGGAGGACTCGGGAGGAGGACATGGGAGGAGGACAGTAGCCAGCTGGGCCGTGGGCGTGGGGAGGACTCAGTGACCGCTGTGTCCAGCTCTCCCTTCTTTCCGAGGCTTTGCCGAGCTGACTGCTGAGCAGTGACACCTGCCTCACCTGGTAGCCATGACAACGAAACAAGGCCAGGTGGTGAGGAAAGGCCTCAGCAAATAAGGGCGCTGCCTGTAATCCAGGATGGCTCCTCCCAGTTAGTCACTGAGCAGAAAATGACCTGAGCGCACGCAGCACTTTGGTTCTGCTCTGCATAATTCAGGGTCCAGAGCCTCTCGTAAAGTTACACAAAGAGTTTTCTCAGGTTCGAGGGGACACCGCTTTGCCCATGAGGAGACTGTTCGATGCCCTGGTTGGCTTTTCTTGTATCTCTGGACGAGGAAGGAATAATGTCAGGCTTTTGTAAACACTGGAGCTCACTCAGCTGGGCAGGAATTGGGGCTGCAGCCAGGCCCGGAGGAGCCTGAACATTTCAGGCTGCAGGTTTCTGGGCTGGGCCGACTGGGAAAACAGTCCTGTACGCGTCGTGTGTTTAAAGTATGATGTTGCCCGTAGTGTGTGCTACATATTGCAGATTTTGACCAGTAATGCTGAATTTTCTCAAATAAATAAACAAGCCACGTTTATAGTAAAGTACAGCATCTATCATTTCTTTCCAGCTAAGGAAGCCCTTGCGTTGGGAGGGTCACCAGCAGCCAGGAGCTGCCCGAGGGAGCTGTTCTAGAATGGGTGAGAGAAAGGACAGACGGGCGGTGGGGCCGAGCCTAGAGCCTGGGCTTTCCCAGGCATGTGACTCCCCTCGCTGGCCCACCCCCGGTGTGCTCTTGGGATTGTCCACCAGAGCAGCTCATCGAGAGCACCAAGTCGGACATCGGCAGCCCCTCCCAGACTAAGGGTGCAGTGGAGCTTTCCTCCACAGAGGAGCGGCGTGGTGGCCCCCAGATCAGCTGGCCTCCCCTCCATGGGTGCAGGCACTTCTGGTCTAAACGGCAGTGAGCAGTGTGGCCGCCATTGCCTTCCTGATAACACATCATGCTGCCTAGTGTCACTTGGGCATCTGCCGTGGGCCGGGAGACATGAGGCCGAGACTATGCTGGGACAGAGTGGGGAGCGTGGGGAATAAATTGGGTGTGTGGTTAGGTGGATGTCATCGTGGCCCCTCCTCTGCTATGCGGCACCTCCATCCTCCTGTTTAAAAACGTCACTTCTCGTGAATAGAGCTTCAGGTCTGACAGCATCTTTCTCAGGATAGTCCTCTTCCCTGGCTGTCCATTACCCATTCGAAGTGCACCTGCCACGGTGCTAAAAGCCCAGGTGTCTTTTGGCACCAGGAGTTCTGCCCAGTGCAATGGGGCAGGGGGCTCGCCAGGGGCTCCGGGCAGGAGGGTAGAGCTGGACATGGGCCGTCGTGGCCTCTGCAGGAGGTCAGGCCTCAGCCACCCCCAAGCAGGCTTCAGGAGGAGGCTGTGCTCAGCCAGCGTGGCAGGGACCTGCCGATGCTGTGAGCCAGGGGACTCGGGGGTAGGTAATGTGAGTGAAATCTGGCCACAGGAGGAGCTGGGCTGTAAAGGGCCTTGCCTGCCACCCTAGGCGCTTGTGCCCTGATCTACTTGAATGTCTCGAGGTTCCCAGTCCCTGGGAACACGTTGTAAGGGTTGTGCTCACAGAACAAGCCTGCAGTGTCAGGTTGAGGAGGGGCCATGAGAAAGAAAAGGATGGGAATTACCCAGCAAGCCCAGGTTCAGAACCAGACCATGTGACAGGAACAAAGAGGGGAGGGGTGGATCGGGGTCGATGTCAGCTGCTGCTGCAGTGACAGATGCCCCCAACAGCATGAGCCTGCAGGACTTGGTGGCCTCCACCTGGGTTCTCTGCCGGCGCCCAGGCAGGGGGCAAGTGTGTCAGCAACATTATATGCCAATGGCAGGTGTAGGAACAAAGCCTGCAAAGGCTGTGGACACCTGCTCAGTGCTGGCCCTGAGGCGTGAGCTTATAGGACTGTCCTCTCCAGGTGTGTCGGCTCCAGCACTGGATTCAAGTGCCTGGTCCCCTTCCCCCGGGGGTTCTTCCTGCTCACAAGCTTGTCTGCAGACTAGCTACCTCCCGTCACCGTCACCGTCACCTTCACCGGGGAGCTCGTTAGAATCTCAGTGCCACCCTCCCCCATGGAAGCCTGCACTTTAACGAGCTCCCCAGGGATCCCCGTCTATGGAGCATCCCCTTTATTCCATCTTCCGCGTCCTCAGCCCCTAGGGGGCGCTCTGCACTCAGCCGCTGAGGACCCTCTGGCGCACAGGACTATGCGGCATGCACACAGCTTTCAAAGGAGCTCAGATGGACAGACACGGAAGAGCAGCATCACGCAGCCGCCTAAGTGTGCGGCTCTGCAGCCTGTCTTCATCCTGGGGAGGTGTCCTGGGGCCAGAAGGTCCAGACCCGGCCCCTGGGTGGCAGCCCCACAGGGCTTAGAGGACTGACAGCGGCTGAGCGCGGGGCTCCTGCAGGGAGGGTCCGGACGGGCGACACAAAGGGCCGCAGCTGCTGCTGCTGCGGGAGCCTCCGTGCCGCTGGAGTCTCAACAGTTAACTGTCCGCAGGCAGAATTAGTGGCCACAGCCGAGGGCTCCTGCTTCGGGGACAGCCAACCCGAGGCCCTGGGGGAGCCGGCGGGCAGGCAGCCCTGCAGAACACCAGCGGTCCGTGTCCCTGCCGCGGCCAGCGGCGGGCGGCCGGCCCAAAGATGGAGCCTCGCAGCCTTTCTTTGTGCGCCCAGGACGGGCGTTCCTGGAGGCAGGTCGCCGCCTCCTGACGCCGGCGCGCTGGCGGGCGACAGCATGACCTTAAGTCTCATCTCCTTGCTGTCCCAGGACATCTCCGGGCTGTGGCTGCTCCTGAAGACCAGCACAGGTGCGTCAAGCCTGCGCTTTGGTGCTGGCTGTGAATGGAGGGTGTGCAGGGAGAGAGGGGCGGGGGACCTTCTGGGGATGGCTTAGCCCGTCACCCACATAGGCCAGCTACAGAGAGGAGCCAGGCTCTGCCCGGCCTCCCTCGTAAGAGAGATCCAGGCTGGGGTAGAAAGGGCAGTCCTGCTCCAAGGGGTGGGGACGTCTGGCATCGCCAGCTGGTTTGGGGCTGTGGCCACCTGGCCTCCCTCCCTGCCCGGGTTTCTCTGCCCTTGGAGTAAAGGTGCACATCGCCACACTCACCCTGGGAGCTGGAATGGACTGTGGTGGGCTCCTTTGTTCCAGCTTTCCTACGGATGTGCTTGTGGGGCCCAGGAAGGGAGCCCAGAGCCTGTGGGTGCGAGGACTGGTCCCTGGCAGTGACGCCGGGACAGAGCTGCCCGGGGCTCCCATGCACAGTGCACTCCGATCAAGGGCTCTCCAGGTGGCAGGAATCGGGACTGGACTGGTCAGGCCTGTGGACAGTGAGCGGCCCGTCCTGGGGTGGTCTATGTGGGCTTCATTTGCCATCCCTGCTCCCAACTCCGTTGGAGGGTAGGCACTTCCCTCCAGACTCAGGCCCCCTGCAGACCGAGAACAAAGACCCTGGAGAGGGGATGGGTGGGTTCCCTGGTTGTGTTTCTAAGGATGGAACGGTGCTCGTTTTGAAGCGATTTGTCATCGCAGATGCTTCTGCCAAGGATGGATGAATAGTTCCGAAAATAAGTATTTTGTAAATTGTAATGAATTGGTTCAACCTTAGCCATCAGTGGCAACAGTAAAGATCTGAAGCGTCCAGTTTTATGATGAAGAGACGGGGTGTGTGAATAATGACTGAGTGCATGGATCTCCCCAACAGATAAGATTCAGAGCATCACGCTCACGTAGGTGGCCGCATTGGAAAGCTCAGTCACTCCTTCTTAAACCCAAGGCATAAACAGTTGGTGCGTTTAATGAAAAGTGATTGTTTTCGTATTTGAAGTCAGTATCACAGCGACAATGCTGGAAGGATCCCTGAAAAGAATGCTTTCTCATTATAGCTATTGTCTGGAATTTTAGAAATTTCACAAACCAGATGCTTTGCCGTCCCATAACCACAGGTAACTGGATTGTGGGGAGTCCTCCCTTGTGGCTATAGGTCATCATTTTAGATGTTCATTTGTTTTCCTAGCTAAATACTAGTTTTAAGTCTTACAACTTTGCATTATAAATTCTTAGTGGTTCTTCTAACACGTACTTTCTTTTTTTAAGATAAATGTGCTTTCGAATAAGTGTCCTGAGGGAGCTTGGTGTAATTAAGGGTTGGAGGGCTTTCTCCCCAGTCTCTAGAAATCATTTGCTGTTTTCTTACAAAAAAAAAAAAAAAAACATTTGCTAGATTTATGAAGAAACAGACGTGTTGGTGCATGTGATAGTAAATCTTTCTTTCAGTGGTACTGCCAGGGGTGTTCGCTCTGCAGAGGGTTGTGTAACTGGCTACTGATTTTCATGAGCGCCTGCTATTTACAAACAAGGTCACGTGCCTCTTTAGTCACTTCTGTTTGGGCTGGATGGGGAGGGAGCCAGATGGGAAGTTTGGCACCTGGCTGGTCAGGAGCTGGGCCCAGAGCACACACAGGATTTTAGATGAAAGTAACGTGGGGGAGACCGCAGACGTATTCACTGTGTCCGAGGCCATCGAGAACCCAAGCTGAGTAGGATGGCAAGTTTGAACCACCATCTCTTTCCAGGCTCAGGTGTCTCCTGTCTTGTCACTCATGAAATCAATGAGGTTGACAGATGTGCATGACCTGCCACCACCAAACCCTAAGCCGCCAGCTCACTCTCCATTACACCTCTCCTCCACCCCTCTCCTCTCTGTCTCATCTTTCTCTCTCTCTCTCTCTCTCTCTCTCTCTCTCTTTCTCTCTCTCTCTCTCTCTGCCACTCAAATGCTGCAAGTCTCTCCCTGTCCCCTGTGTGTGCCTGAGCAGGGCAGGGGCTCCAAGGCTCCCAGTGGGACAGTGTCCATGAAGTCCCTATGCCCCCGCTGTGCTCTGTGCCACCCCGTCATGGGGGCCACCTGGGTGAGGCTTAGGATGAGATGAGCGTGCCCTCCCATGGTCCCCTTCACCCGAGCAGCCCGACGTTCCCCACACCGTGTGTCATTGCTTTTGTCGGATAGGGATGTTTTGAGGAAGGTTTATGCAACCTCTTGTTTGTTTTTTTAGATTTATAGAATTCTTGGTACTTAGAAAGCAGGACTAAGTATGCACACCTACAGTTCAGGGGAGAATTTTGGAGACCTTCTGAAGTGTCCGGAAGGAACGTGGTGGGGTGTTGGTGACAGGAACCTCGGTCTTTCCCTGTGTGCTGTGTTCCGTGAGCAGCTTTCTGAGAGCAGCTCTGAATGGAAGGACACGTGAGCACCTGCCCCAGCGTGCCTCCTGCCCCTTGGAGCCAGGAAGGAATGACGTCTATAGAAATTGTTTGCATTGATTTCCCTGATCTTAGAGTTATTGTGGGTGTTTTTTTTTTATGTTGACACGTGATTGTTTTAGAATGAGTAAGAAAAGAAAAAAAGCCATCAGAAAAACCTCCTTTATTTCTATACAGCAGTAGGCTCCTGTGGGGGGTGTGCATGGTGTTTTTGTCTATGTGTGTGATGTGTCTGTGTTCGTGGTATGTGCTGTGGGGAGGTGTGTGGTGTTTTTGTCTGTGTGATGTGTCTGTGTAGGTGGTATGTGCTGTGGGGGGGTGTATGGTGTTTTTATCTGTGTGATGTGTCTGTGTAGGTTGTATGTGCAGTGTTTATATGTAGTGTGTGCATGTGTAGCATGTGTGTGAGGTCCATAAACCATACCTATTACTTCAAAGGAAGCAAAGATGCTGACACCTCAGAACATAAAACTGTGGGACTCTGGGGGGCCAGGTGCTTAGGGACTTGGGCCAGGCTCCTGCAGGGGCCCAGCAGGTGGCTGGTACAACATGCTGTTGGGGGCCCAGCATGGCCAGAAGCTCAGCCCAGAACCAGAGTGAGGGTGGCGTCATGTCACATACACTGCTCAGGGCTGACATCATTTGCTTCCATGGAAACCCAGAAGTCGGAGCTTTGGGAGAGGAAACGAGACATTGGATTCACTGTGAAGGGTGAGCTGGTGGTTGCCGGGCACACTGAGGATGGTGCTGGTGTTCTTCCCTGCTTGCTCCTCCCTCCCGTCCTCCCACCTCTCCGTGGCTGTTCGTCTTCAGGGTGGCTGCTTAGGGCTCCCTCTTTGTGAAGACGTCAGGCCAGCGTGAGCCTCAAGGAGCCCTGGGACGGCCACAGTGGGCAGCCCTGTTCCCTGTCATCTCTGGGAGCCTGGAATCTCTTGGTGGCTTTCTTACCCTGACCCTGTCCTGACCCCTGCTGGCTGCACTGCAGGCACCGAGGTGTGCAGGAAGGCTCCGCCCGGTGCGGATTAAACACAAACAAACAGCCCAGTCGGCACTGGGCACCAAGGGGAGGTGCTCAGAGGAGGAGCCATACTGCCCATAGAACGGCTCTTTTCTTCAGGGACTTGAGTCCGAGGGCGAGCGTATTTAAGCCGCAGCTTCACTGATTAGCCAGATTCACTCAGGTGAGGAGGAGGATTTGGAGTCAAGACTTATTTCCTTAGATCAGTGGTCGGCAAACTGCGGCTCTCAAGCCACATGCGGCTCTGTGGCCCCTTGAGTGTGGCTCTTCCACAAAATACCACGTGCAGGCGCGCATGTACAGTGTGATTGAAACTTCGTGGCCCATGCACAGAAGTCGGTATTTTGTGGAAGAGCCACACTCAAGGGGCCAAAGAGCCGCAGTTTGCCGACCACTGCCTTAGATCACCCGTGAGTGGTTAGCCCGTTGAATGATCAGTGTGAGAAGTGCCACCTGGGGCCTGGGAGAGGAGGAGGCGTCCCACTGTGTGGCATTCCAAGGCTGGTTCATGCACCAGCAACCTCTCCCACAGGTCACTTCCCAGCTCTGTTTTCAGGAGCTCGCCAGGCTCTCGAGGTTCCCTTGGAGGGTGAGGGGCT